AATAATTCGTTCTTATTGCGAAATAGGAGCACTATTTATCAATCTGTAATAAAAGACGTAAGGAAATTCTGTCTTTTTTAAAGACAAAAATTTTTGAGGCGAAATACCCAAAGAGAAGTTTGTAAAAAAATAATTTTTGCTCGTATCATATAAATTATCGGGTGATTTGAGTTAAAATGCAAATATAATTTCTATACAAACTTTTCTATACAGGTTTCTATACCCATTGGTCCATCCAATATCGATATCACAGTAACTATGATCATCACAACAAAACATTTCGTGCTTAAAAGGAGCACATTATTTTCTAATACAGAGAGAGTTATCGAAGCGACACACATTTCTTAGATCGTATAGAAATAGCGACTGAAAAAAACCTTTATATAAAAATGTGGGGGTTATCGCCAAACTTATTACTTCTGTTACTTTGAAGTGCACAAAGCACCTCAAAATAAAGTTATGACGCTCAAGTTGATTCTTTTAACCGAATAGTCGACTTTTTCATCCAGATGCAGGTTCTACATCGAATTCGAAGTATTTTCTGTACAACATACTATGTATATGGCAAGATTCAATAGTTTTGGACATAACCGCGTTTAAACCCAGTAACGCACCCAAATATATCCATTTTTATTAAGAGTTCAGGGGTAGAAATTTCATTCATTATTATCCTCTACATTGTCGTTACTGTGGGCGCGCATATTAAATAGCCTGCCTGATCACCTGACCTCACCCTTTGTGACTTAAAGATTCGTTTGAAAAGTCTACCAAGTTCTTCCAACTGATCCTGAGGATATGAAGCGCAGAGATTACGATGTTCTGACTACAAAATATACATATTGCTAAAATGCTGTAAGTTCTTCATAACAGCGTCAGAAGATATGAATTATGACTCGGGGAAAATGGAAATAGGTTTGCACATTTGTCCTTTACTTTTAAATTACATCGTTTATTTAAATAAAAGATAATAATAAATATTACTTTTATTGCGTTCCTTCAAATTCCATTCAAATGTAGGAAATGTCCAAAACTTTTGAATTAACTCAAATAGTATCTAAAAAAAATACTTCGAATTCAACGTACTTCCTGAATCTGAATTGAAAAGTAGGATATTCTATTTAAAAAAATAAGCTTGACTCTCATAATTTGATCTTGAGCTACCCTGTATAGTTCAAAGTAACAGGAATAAATACTTTGGCGACAACCACAACACTTTTACATAAAAGCTCTTTTCTAGTCACCATTCCAGTCAAATTGTAATGTAAGTTTATTCCAAATGTTCCATCTGAAAAATTTTGCGTTTCTGAATTAAACGGAAAAATCTCAAAAGTTTGAAAGCTGCTGGAATCCACAGAAAAGAGTTCGGTACCTTAATTGCTGCAATTTTGAAATCTGAATTGTTTGAATTAGCCAATAGTTCACCGCAAACCTCCCAATACGCCCCCGTAGTTCCATGTTTTTCATTCGTCAACGTGCTTAATTTAAATCGATACACACATTTTCTTTCAATTTTTCGTTAATGTTCAAGCCCTAAAGGCCAGTTTAGAGTAATTAGGTCCTATTGGAGATTTTTCAAATTTGCTGCGGTATTGATATGGCGCGGATGTCTGTGAAACTATGAACAAAATTTTCCGAACTCTTCGTTAAAGGAAAGTCCTTCATGCAAAATCGAAATTTTTTCGAATTAAACATTTCACGGAAAAGCAGGCGTTTTCATGAAAAAAATATAGTTGGTTACAGTCCTAGGTTAATGAAGCAGTCGGTATATTAAAAAATACATTTAAAATGGACACGTGTGAAACACCAAAAAAATTCATAAATAAAATTTTCTTCTAAAATTCATATTTTCTGAATTGCACTTTGACGCAATAATGAGCAATCCTGTACACCAAAGTTTCAAAATTCTTAAAATTGTTCTGAATTGGAACATCGAGAAAAGAAATTTGCTTTTTTCAGTTTTTTCACTGCTGAATTTAATTGTTGGTTCTTTATGGTTAAGATAAGATATAAATTGTAAATGACTATTTATGGAAAAAACCAATTGAATATGCACTTTCATCTATACTTAAAGTTGCATCATTAAATTTAATTACAAGAAGGATATACAAGTTCTTCTAAAATGTTCCAAATCCCATTTTATTTCCCATTTCATACCACTTTTAGTGGCAACAAAACATTCCTTCAGTGTCTCAGTCTCAGTCAAAAAAATTTTTAGTAATCGAAATTTCCAGAACTACACTTTGATTGATTACATCTTCAATGCTACCTTTGTTAAGTCCAATGTTATTATTTTGATCTAACGTTCCGCTTCTGCGGTAAACAATCTCAACAAATAAGTGGTCTTTGTTTCCACTCGCAAGCCTTTCAGTTTTGGCGTGCTTTTTAATTTGTAATCTCCAGCTTTTTTCTAGTCAAATTTGTTTTAAGTTGGGAACTTTCAGCAAAAAATCCGTCAAAAATGCCATTTTGCTGAACATTAGAATGTAAAAGAGCGATCGTTGTTAGTGTAATTTCACACATTCCTTCAACTCAGTTCGTAACTATAAAAGCCGAAACAATGGGGCTCTGAAACAAAGAAATTCTAGTTAGTGTCCGGTTTGGTCCGCACTAAATAAATTCAGGAATAAAGGGACAGTTTTACAAGTCTGCCGATGCAGAAACGACTTCCTACTACAGAACGGGATTCGTTCGTTCATTCATTTTAAATCATAAGATAAGTTGAAACTTAAAAAAAAACATTTTTTTCGGTTCATCTTAAATGCGATTATTGTCAATTTTTCTTTTGACCCATTTGGATTTAACTAATATTTCGTAATAATCTACAACAATCTAAATGATCTAAATAAATCTAATAATCTAAACAAATTTCCAAAAACTGTTAAAAATCTGGTTGTTGTTGCAAAGCAAATTATTCCACCTTCAAACTTTAAGATCGAATTAAAACGATAGGCGCCTCCACCCCTGGCGGCGCGTTCTTTTAACCCTTGCCTCATATATTCACCCTTTGGACAGTGGCCGGTTAATTCTCCCTTTACTTTCGCATTTCGAGCCCCTGCTAGAAGAGCCGACAAACGCTTTAAAGCTTTTGTAACAGCTCCTTGTTTCGGGTTATATATTTGGCAAAATATGCTAGTAAACATGCATATTTAATTTGAATAATTTCATTTCAGTTGTTGCGTTTCATGCTTGTAGCACGCAATCAAAAACTACAACAAGCGTGAATTTTATTTGCTTTCTTCAGATTAGTGTCGATTTCGAACCGAACGTTTTTATATATTTGAAGTCAACTGGAAAGCATTTAATTAAATTAAACAATAAAACCAAATCCGACCAAAAAAAACGAAGAAATTCTTGTCTACGTAAATAACGACATCTCACTTAACTGAAATTAATATTTTGTACGTAAACAAATAGCTCTTGCTCTTGTAACTGTAGAAGCTGACTTTACATTCAAGTGTTTCACATCATTACTCTGAACACCTTTAATCGTAAGCAAAACCTGCTAAAAATGGAAAATAAATATAGTTGGTATAAAAAAAGCAGAAAATACTGGAAGCATTCAATAAACCAAAAAACAATGTATGAAATATTAATGACAATATGAGATTTTTCGTAAATTAGGTTGTGCTAAAGCTCTATCAGCTGTAAAAGCAATCAATTGAATGGCAACAGAGTCATTTTTGTTAACACTGGATTAATTGTCGTCAGTTTAATGAAGTCAGTCTATGAATAACTAATGTTATTATAGCTTTTTTATTGGAAAATGTGAACTTTGGATCGATTCTTTTTGCAATTTCTGCACCTGCATTTTCTAACAGGTTCAGTTTGAGTCTCATTAAGCCT